TATGAATTAGAAAAATCTTCTTCTAAATATATATATATATATATATATATATATATATACTGTATATATTTCATGAACATGCTTTAAATAAATCTGATAGAAATTAGCATAATTTAAATTACTCACTGAAAATCATTCCGCCATTGTGCTCAAACCTCATTTGCATTGCATATTCAATTATGATTGTGTGCGAGGTTTGATGTCAGTATACAAAAGAGTTGCAGAATAATGTGAATAACAGCTGACATTTCAGTCTGCTGTCTGTTATCGGATGACTTCAGCATGAAACATGAATCATAGACTGCATTTATGAGACTGTTATTGTGTTATTTGTCCTTGACAGGTGACCATATGCATTTCAAGAAAACAGAAGACCGACATTCTGTAAATATCTCCTTTTGTGTTCAATGGAAGAATCACAGAAAAGATGGTGAGTTGTATTTTCATTGTGAATGCCCTGTTCCTTTAACATTCGCTAAGTGACGGTTTACTTCCATCATTGACTCATTGACACCTGCCAAGCTGTGAGATGTGTTACAACACTGGCTTTATCAGACAGGCCTTGCTGAGGAAGGATTCAGACTGAGAACAGGACAGACTGAACTCTGGCAGTGTGAATTAGCAGTGGCTTTTATGGATGAATTCCCAGAGGGCCATTAAGCATCAGCCTTTTCTGCGTTAGCTGTGCAAATGCGCGGGTTACCTACACACAAATGGATCTGTGCTTCTGTAAACTTTATTAGAGAACGTATGGAAATGACAAACAAAGCAGGCTGCAATTAATGGATATCATCTTTTATTTTTCTCAAACAAAACCTTGCGAGAAGCTTGATATTTATTTGAACAGGCAACCCCGGCTATAAACCTCTGCCAAAATAAGAACGCCCATATTTCTATTAAAAATACCGGAGAGTGAATTTCATGGGGCTTATGTGTTCAGTCATGTACAAAGGGACCTGTATTAAGGAAGTCTCCTGAGGCGTTTTGTGGGTAATGTGCTCATTTGAGATTGTTCCAGACCTCACGGACAAACCAAAATGCCAGCCTTTCACAATACAGTGGCTTTACGGTGCAAAAACATAAATGTTTACTTTGTGTAATGACTGAACAAAGCCATAAAGAGTGTGTAAATGAGCATTATGGTTTTGTGAGGTTGCAGCGGCACGGATGCGTTTACCTGCTCTGATGGAGTCAGTGTGTCTGGAAACACAAGTAATGCCTAATGAGAAATCATCATGGAAATAAGTATGCAATAAAGCACTCGAGGCTGTGCATTACCGGGATTTTACTAGAGGTCTGAGTTCATTTTTGGTTTTATAAAACAATGGCAACAGTGGTATTATAAAAGACACCAATGTGCAATGAATAGTGCAATTATTTTACAATAAATAGTATGTGCTGAGAAAAGAAATAGTTTTAAATATGTCAAAAATAAATGCTTTTGTGGTGCACTCCTAAAAAACATGGCATTACCGTGTTCAATCATCATGTTATTGTCATGGTACATGTCTGTATATACTATTATATACTATTATAGGGTTTCTTATTATTTTTAATTAGCTTTTGTTTATATATATATATATATATATATATATATATA